CGTGTTTTAGATTGTTCTTGAAAAACTAATCAGTCACGGCTGTTTAGTGGGTGCACTCACGGCTGCACAGTGAAACAAACCCATCGATTTTTTACAGCAGACAGCCGCTCTCTCTCTCTTGCAGGTACTGCGTACCCCCGCTAAATCTTTTAGGGGTATGCAGTACCCTACCGTACCCCCTTACTTTCACCCCTGGTTTTACTGTAAGCCATTGTTCTGTCACGGCTGGTAATGTGACTTCCTGAAAGCCTGATTGAATGAACCTTTCCACTGCCAAACCTGTTCACCTTTCCTTACCTTGGGGGCATTGCCTCCCAGCGAGCATCATTCGTCAACATCGACCTGCCCCTTGCATACACTTTGGTTGGTGTTTTGTGGCCTTAGCTCATTTCCACAGTTGGTAAACAGCTAAATTTGTCTCCCAATCAATGGAAGCTATTTAACTTGAGGTATTGACTTGCTTGGCACTCACCAGACTTTAGAAACTAAAAAAATACAAACAAATAAAGCTAGAGAGAAAAGGAACAGCAGAAACTGTGGCCCTGGCTATGAAGAGTCACGTTTTTGATAATGAGGTTCTGGTTGCTAAAAGGAAAGAGTGTGCCAGTAAAAAATAGAAAAGCAAGAGAAAAACAGAGGACTGGATCGATATGAGCAGATAATCACCAGGCCTCTGTTCCAGTGTGTAAAGAGTGTGACATTGCAGAGGTGGACATGGCAGGGAAGAGATCAATGACTGCTTTCCGCTGATCCCTAATCCTTAACTATCTATAAGTAATTAACCTTCAGAGGAGAAATAAATGGAGAAATTAAGTGGGAAAAACAATGAGAGCAAACAGAACAAAGGCTACCTCACTCTGCAGATAACAGCAGCACAAATTAATAGTTGTCTGCCTCTGCAATTTGCAGCATCGGATTCAGTTTTATTTGTGCAAGGCTGCATCTCCCTGTTGAGCTGGAAGACTTCCCTGCAATATTTATTATGAGATGACAAATATAGAAGCAGCGACAGGAAGAACAAGAAATCTCATCTCAGCCTAGAGAAAAAAAATCACATATTAGTTGTAGTTTTGAAGTGGGATCTGCTCTCCTTGTCTCTAACCCCATAGAGGATTTTTTTTTCTTCCTTCAAGCTTGACTAGAGAAGTGGAAGAAGGGTTTTGTAAAGAATCAGAGCGCCCTCAGTGGCTGCCAGAGGAACTGCAAGAGCAAAATTAACTTTTTCCAAGGAGCTTGGACATTTTATTTGCTTTATGTTTAAACTCGCAGCAGAAGATGAGCAGCTCAGTTCTGTGAACTCAGCACTAATACATTGATCTGTACAAGCTTTAATGGCACACCAACACACCTCACAGTATGTGTTTCAGTTAGCAATGGGCAAACATAGATGCAGTTGTCACGTTAGCAGAGTGATAACGGCCATGGTTGGCTTTAAGAACAACTCGGCCTTTCCCAAGTACAAAATATAACTTATTACAATATTCACTCCATAGAAAGCTTCTAGCAAATAATTATGATGTTAAAAATTTGGAAAGTGGTTTTGAGCACTGAATAGATAAATTATGGAGTAAAAACCGTAATCTCAGAGAGTGTCACAGGTAATTCACACAATCACTGAAAAGAAAAGAGAAAATGTCATCACTCCCAGCAGTTCTGCACTCAGAACTTTTTTAGGGAGAGTTTTTCCGTCGTGTTCTCCTCTTGGTACATCAGAGACCTCCAGCTGTGACTTCACCAAAATGGACACCTGGAAGGTAGACACAAAACATCAGAACGTTAAACGAACTGAGTAACTCCAGATGACGTGCTTGCTGTCTCTACAGCAAGCACCTCATTTGGAGTTACTCAGATGAGGTGCTTGGCCTTTTGGTAGGAATTCCTCAGACTGTTTCATATTTTGTCTCATTACAATGATGAACTTAAGTATCTTGTGTTATGATTTTCTGTGACAAATTCACACAAAATATGTGAATTAGAAACCTTACTGAAGACTGAAAAAGTTCTCACTTTGCTAAATATTTCAAGTTCAGTCCAAATAGATGGAGAAAAAATTACAAATAGGTCTGGGCTTTGACTGGGCCATTCTAAGGCAAGAATATGGTTTGATTTGACTTGTGAAAGCTACAGTTTATGTAACAAAACGTTTTATTACTTTCTTCCAACTGTGGCCCTCTTTTTGATACTCTTCTGTCAAAAACCTGATTTGTGGAGATAAAAACTAACAGTTGGCCTTAAAGGGTCGGTATCATGTTTTCCAGCCACATAGTGGCATTTATAGAACAGTAACTGTGTTACCTTCAGCTGTTATAAAAATGCTGCACATATTAAACAGGAAGGAAAAGAAGTTTGACTTCATAATTTGATACTTTGAAATTAGGCCTCTGACTCTTTAAGAAGCTTCTGCTCTTTGTTCTATCTGCCTCCAGGTTACACCACAGCAAAGCTCTTCCATAATGCCATTTGCAACGTTCTTAGAAACATTGCACTAGGTTAAAGTGGAGAATTAAAAATAAAATCTTAAGATTTTTTTATACCAAACCTGATTTATGATTTTAATAGATTTTTATTCCATTAGAACAAATTACAAATAGCAGAAAATATCTTTAAAAAGTTTATTTTCCTTTGATCATTATAGGAGCTACTGCTTAGAGCGACGCTGTTAAAAATGTTGTTAAAGGGTTATTAGAGACGCCATGTTGGGATGACTTCCTGGAGCGCCGGGAAGAGCAGGATCCTCTTATAGAGACAGAGGCCCAATTTCAAGGTGTTCAATTTAAGTCGTATTTGATATATAGTATTTTTTATAACAACTGAAGGCAACATAGCTGCTTGATTGTGTCATATAAAGCAACTATGTGGATGTAAAATGATACTGGCCCTTTAAATATTGAAAGCTAACCTCTATCTAGTATTACTTGTTGATCTACCAAAGAAATTCCAATAAAAGGTTTGTGACTGAAACATGAAAGATGTGGAAATGTTCCAGTGTTGGCAGTCATCATGATGTCAGTCTGATCTCCAAGTACTGACCATCCAATGTAGCACTGGCACAGGTTTTCATGGGACGTGGCCTGCTTGATGAGGAGCTCCACTTGTGTTGGGACGTCCAGCGTGTCATCGTGAGAAAAGTCTCGCCCTGAAAACATAAACTCAGCGTGAGTGGCTAGGTGTAGAGATCGACACCTCAGAGCCTTTAGATAGTTTTGTTGCACAGCAGCATGTTGAGGAAAAACCAAGCTGTGATCGTCCAGTTTGGGTCTGTTCTGAGTCCAGAACCCACCTGTGAGTTTGTCGCGTACTCGGTTGATAATCTGAATGGCTTTCTTGTTGAGAGCCTCTGGCTGCACAAGACCATCTCCAACTTTAAAACACAAACCCGCCGGGATTAATACACTGACCTAGAAAATTACAGTCGGTTTGCAACACAATAACATTCATGTGGAACAGATGGACTCACTGAAGGAGTGTATGGATTCAGGCACCGTGGTCCCGGGTTTCTTGTGCGTGGTCTCTCCCAGGTCTATGCCATCCAGCGCCTCTGCAGATAACATTCAAATGTTTGGTTGTGTTTTCTGCTAAAGTGGAGTCATTCTCTCTGCAGTCTGCATGCTACTCACCCACTGACTGGCCGGCGGTGTACGAGTCGGTCCTGGTTCGGGAACGCTTGGTGCCTTTGGTGTTTGCTGTGCGACAGGCAGACAACCACATTATTCCACATTTTATTTACAGAGACGGGTTTTCATTAATGAAATAAAAATGCATCTCAGTCTGTTAACTGCTGCACAGATTCTACTGTCTGCATTATTTACTCCTCATGCAGCTCCGCTCTGCTCTCACACAAATTAACTCTGGGATGTTTGTAATTTCTAAAGCTAAATCTTTTATCTTTATAAAATTATTATATTAATGAACGCAAACTTGACACCACAAGCCACAAGACGTTTTTATTATTTGCACAAAATAATAAGTGATAATCTTCTTTCAGTTCATCATGTCAGACCATCTGAGGGAAGAAAAATTTCTGCATGTGTGAAATATTTGTTAGAGCTAATTATTCTCTAAAGCACACTTTTTTCACTCAGACTCTTACCGAGTTGTTTTCCTGATTAATTTGTAGAAATCTACAGCTCTGGTCAGAAGTTTATATACATGCCTTGTGGGTTTGACTGTCATATTTCTGTCTGAAATGTAATCTTCCATAAGTCTGTTGAGTCATGTTGATCCACATACTTCAAAACAGCAAAATCTAGTAAACTAATTCAATTCAGTTTTTAAATAAGCATTTTGTTGCCTAAAATGCAACAACAGAATTTGCTTAATCGTTTGTAGCAAAGGTTTTGTGTGCAATGAAAAAAAATTGTCTAACAATATTTTTAAGTTCAGCTCTTTCTGCTTGACTTAGCATGAAAACAGTGTGAGGCTAATCTGTTCATTTATTGGATTTACGATTAACTGGATTGATTTTTGATTTTCTTTTTTTTTTTTCTACAAAATTTGAACCAGGTGGAGCTAAAACTGCCACCGAGGAGTTTTGGGTGTAACATGTTTACAGGTAAACTGTTTTTTATCTTAAATGTAAAGTGAACATGTTTTTTAAACTATTTTGACTCAATTAGAGCTCTGAGAAGGGCTGAAACGATTCCTCGAATGATTCAAGTACCTCAATTATTAAAATTCACCTGTTATGACATTCATGACAAGTTATAATTTCTTGTTTAATGTCAAGTTGTCATGACAACAACGTTGTCTTGGGTAATGTCACGTTGTCATAACAAAGACATTTTCAATATCAACTTTGTATTAAAAGTGTCATGATTTACCGAATGACTCTTTATGACAACAGTCATAAATATTCATGAAGACTTATTCATGTTCATGACAGTGTCATGTCAGTCTTATTCACCCCCCTTCAAATAAAGTGTTACCTTTTTTAAAAAAAAAAATCTAATTACTTGACTAATCGCAAAGATAATCAATAGATTACTCGATTACTAAAATATTCGTTTACAACAGCCCTCAATCTGAGTATTATTTTGTCAGAAAATTATCTTTTTTTACAGTATGTATCCTACTATTAACAATTAATTGATTACTAAATTAGTTGACAATTATTTCAATAATCGATTAATCAAGATTAATCCAATTAATTGTTTCAGTCCTATTCACTTTGACATAAAAACTGTTTAAATAAATTAAAATCTGCAAACATGTTAATATGGGAACTTGTTCAGCAGCTGCAGTGATCTACAGTATGTGTGTGAGGTGGAACAGCTCAATGGGTGTGTGTGAGGTGGAACAGCTTATTGGTGTGTGTGTGAGAAGGAACAGTTCGACGGCCCCTTACTGTCCATGAGCCTCCAGTTGAGCAGTGGGTCGTAGACGAAGGCCTCCAGGACGGCCATGACGCTGTCCCTGTGCTCCCTCAGGACCTCCATCACAGTGTGGCAGGTGATCCTGTAGTTCCCATCCAACCCCGTCACCTACACACACACGCAGATGGAAAAACAGGGTTTTTAGTTTTAAGGCGAGTCCTAAATAAGAATTGAGATGCTTCGACTTAAATTCTTGCAAATTTGACTTCAATTTAAATTAATTTTCTTCTTTCTTCATTCAGCACAAATCAGTTATAAATTCTGTTAAAACATTGCATAAATGGGAAAGACTAATCTTTATTTTGTTCATAAACAAACTGAAAGCAGCCAACTGATGATTTCTGCATAATAAATAGTATTTGTGCTCATTTTTCAAAATTTACATTAATTTGTTTCTGTTTTTAGGTTTTAAGCTAAGAAAAACAGAAAACAAACAAAAAGAGGATTGATCTCAGATTTTCTTCTGCAGGAAGTTGATGTTTGTGGAAAATTATGTATACCAAAAAGGGACTTACTGTATTTTTTGGACTCTAAGCTGCTACTTTTTCCTACGCTTTGAACCATGCGGCTTATAGTCTGGTGTGGCTTTTCTGTGGATTTTTCTTCAACGGTCACTGAGCTCTTTAACAGGAAGTGTATCATTGAAAGAAAAAATTGGAAATCAAAGAAGAAAGTGCTAATTTCCATTTAAAACAAGTACATGCTAGCAGCAGGCACGACAGAGAAATTTCTTCAAACTCATACCCCCTCATTATGGAAACAACACGAAGAAGATGATGTGATGAAGCTTTTAAGTTGAAGGCTATAGATCTGGTAGTACAGGAGGGAAATAGAGCCGCTGCATGTAAGCTCAGTGTGAACGAATCCATGGTTTGGCATTGGAGATGCAGGGCTGCGTCCTTAATAGCAGATTTAATAAGGAAGCAGCCCTATGTTGCGTTCTTGTGAAAAACTGTGAGCGGCGGAGATACCAGCGGCTTAAAGCCCGGCGCAGCTTATATATGTACGTTTCCAGTTTTTTTTTTTTTTTTTTTTTTAAATTTTTTATTAGGGGTTTTTATTAAACCCTTTAGCCGGGAAAAAAG